TAAATATTTTTGGCGGGAAATTGCGTATCAATAGTTTATTATCACAAGGTGAAATCCGTCATCTGCAGCAAAAAAAGAGCGATCATATTTTTTGGTTTTAAAAGTTCACTCTCTTCCAAGAATGCACTTCTCGTCTTTAAAATGCTTTTGGGAGGGAAGCACCTCAATTGAGGTCCGTAATGGGTACGCAGAATTTGATCGTGGCCCTGTTACTCCCTATGATGAAATTCGTGAAAACCCAACTGCCAACTGAGTATTGGTGTGCTACAAATTAAAAAATACATATAATAAAACATTTTAAATTTAGAAAACTATGTTGCTACTTAATTCTTTATTATCTCATGCAAGAACAAAAGTTGCATTGCAATAACTAGTAAAGTTGAGATAATCCAAACGCCGCGGTGAAGAGTAGGTAATGAAAAAACAGAATTTCAAAAATAAAATTAAATATTAAGTAATAGAGTTTAAAAAAGTCATAAAACAAAAAAATTTAGATTGGAAATACAGTCAAGTGCTATTGATTTTGAAACAATTTACCATGTTTAAAAAACAGGTACGCTGCCATTTTAAGTTACGTAAAAATAAAGTTCATTATTTGTTAAATAACAGAATTTAGGTAAATAATTATAATTACGTTTTAAACAATGTTCGCTTGTATAGCAGGAGCAAAATGAAACTCATCAGACAGTGCATGACATGTGACGTAAGGGATTTAATGTGAAAGGATGTTAAGCGACTTGAGTTACGTAATTCTGGCATATTGGTACAAAACCGTTTAGTTATTGGCACATTAATTGGAGTTCGTGTTTTTCTAATATATGAAGTTTTACGTCCCACGCTGGCAAGGCCTCCCCTCTTTCTGAAGGGTTTTGTGCAAGGAATTGTCTCCGCCGCGTTGTTGGCGAACTTCACATGTCTTCGAATATTTTTTTCTTTTCCTCAGACATGGAGTTTCCTAACGATGTTTTCCTTCACCGCCGAGCGCGTGGTAAATCGGCACCTAAAATTGAAATTAACAATTTCATTGGTGTCGGCGGGGTCGAACCCGGGTTACTCGCGTTCTGTTATATTTACAGCGAGCGTTAACCATCTGAGCTACCATGGCTCTTATAAACTTAGATAGTTTAATTTAAATGACTGCTTTACATAGTTTACTGAGAATAAATTTGTTTTTTAATTTTATTTACAAAAAGTTTTCTACTTATTAGATAAATATTATAGGTGGCAGAACGATGCTGCAACTATAACATCATGGTTGTACGATAAATATTATAGGTGGTAGAACGATGCTGCAACTATAACATCATGGTTGTACGATAAATATTATAGGTGGTAGAACGATGTTGCAACTATAACATCATGGTTGTACGATAAATATTATAGGTGGTAGAACGATGCTGCAACTATAACATCATGGTTGTACGATAAATATTATAGGTGGTAGAACGATGTTGCAACTATAACATCATGGTTGTACGATAAATATTATAGGTGGTAGAACGATGCTGCAACTATAACATCATGGTTGTACGATAAATATTATAGGTGGTAGAACGATGCTGCAACTATAACATCATGGTTGTACGATAAATATTATAGGTGGTAGAACGATGCTGCAACTATAACATCATGGTTGTACGATAAATATTATAGGTGGTAGAACGATGCTGCAACTATAACATCATGGTTGTACGATAAATATTATAGGTGGTAGAACGATGCTGCAACTATAACATCATGGTTGTACGATAAATATTATAGGTGGTAGAACGATGCTGCAACTATAACATCATGGTTGTACGATAAATATTATAGGTGGTAGAACGATGCTGCAACTATAACATCATGGTTGTACGATAAATATTATAGGTGGTAGAACGATGCTGCAACTATAACATCATGGTTGTACGATAAATATTATAGGTGGTAGAACGATGCTGCAACTATAACATCATGGTTGTACGATAAATATTATAGGTGGTAGAACGATGTTGCAACTATAACATCATGGTTGTACGATAAATATTATAGGTGGTAGAACGATGCTGCAACTATAACATCATGGTTGTACGATAAATATTATAGGTGGTAGAACGATGCTGCAACTATAACATCATGGTTGTACGATAAATATTATAGGTGGTAGAACGATGTTGCAACTATAACATCATGGTTGTACGATAAATATTATAGGTGGTAGAACGATGTTGCAACTATAACATCATGGTTGTACGATAAATATTATAGGTGGTAGAACGATGTTGCAACTATAACATCATGGTTGTACGATAAATATTATAGGTGGTAGAACGATGCTGCAACTATAACATCATGGTTGTACGATAAATATTATAGGTGGTAGAACGATGTTGCAACTATAACATCATGGTTGTACGATAAATATTATAGGTGGTAGAACGATGTTGCAACTATAACATCATGGCTGTACGATAAATATTATAGGTGGTAGAACGATGTTGCAACTATAACATCATGGTTGTACGATAAATATTATAGGTGGTAGAACGATGTTGCAACTATAACATCATGGTTGTACGATAAATATTATAGGTGGTAGAACGATGTTGCAACTATAACATCATGGTTGTACGATAAATATTATAGGTGGTAGAACGATGCTGCAACTATAACATCATGGTTGTACGATAAATATTATAGGTGGTAGAACGATGTTGCAACTATAACATCATGGTTGTACGATAAATATTATAGGTGGTAGAACGATGTTGCAACTATAACATCATGGTTGTACGATAAATATTATAGGTGGTAGAACGATGCTGCAACTATAACATCATGGTTGTACGATAAATATTATAGGTGGTAGAACGATGTTGCAACTATAACATCATGGTTGTACGATAAATATTATAGGTGGTAGAACGATGCTGCAACTATAACATCATGGTTGTACGATAAATATTATAGGTGGTAGAACGATGCTGCAACTATAACATCATGGTTGTACGATAAATATTATAGGTGGTAGAACGATGTTGCAACTATAACATCATGGCTGTACGATAAATATTATAGGTGGTAGAACGATGTTGCAACTATAACATCATGGTTGTACGATAAATATTATAGGTGGTAGAACGATGTTGCAACTATAACATCATGGTTGTACGATAAATATTATAGGTGGTAGAACGATGCTGCAACTATAACATCATGGTTGTACGATAAATATTATAGGTGGTAGAACGATGTTGCAACTATAACATCATGGTTGTACGATAAATATTATAGGTGGTAGAACGATGCTGCAACTATAACATCATGGTTGTACGATAAATATTATAGGTGGTAGAACGATGTTGCAACTATAACATCATGGCTGTACGATAAATATTATAGGTGGTAGAACGATGCTGCAACTATAACATCATGGTTGTACGATAAATATTATAGGTGGTAGAACGATGCTGCAACTATAACATCATGGTTGTACGATAAATATTATAGGTGGTAGAACGATGCTGCAACTATAACATCATGGTTGTACGATAAATATTATAGGTGGTAGAACGATGCTGCAACTATAACATCATGGTTGTACGATAAATATTATAGGTGGTAGAACGATGCTGCAACTATAACATCATGGTTGTACGATAAATATTATAGGTGGCAGAACGATGCTGCGACTATAACATCATGGTTGTACGATAAATATTATAGGTGGCAGAACGATGCTGCAACTATAACATCACGGTTGTACGATAAATATTATAGGTGGCAGAACGATGCTGCAACTATAACATCATGGTTGTACGATAAATATTATAGGTGGTAGAACGATGCTGCAACTATAACATCATGGTTGTACGATAAATATTATAGGTGGCAGAACGATGCTGCAACTATAACATCATGGTTGTACGATAAATATTATAGGTGGTAGAACGATGCTGCAACTATAACATCATGGTTGTACGATAAATATTATAGGTGGCAGAACGATGCTGCAACTATAACATCATGGTTGTACGATAAATATTATAGGTGGTAGAACGATGCTGCAACTATAACATCATGGTTGTACGATAAATATTATAGGTGGTAGAACGATGCTGCAACTATAACATCATGGTTGTACGATAAATATTATAGGTGGCAGAACGATGCTGCAACTATAACATCATGGTTGTACGATAAATATTATAGGTGGTAGAACGATGCTGCAACTATAACATCATGGTTGTACGATAAATATTATAGGTGGCAGAACGATGCTGCAACTATAACATCATGGTTGTACGATAAATATTCCACACAGGATGGCAGCGGGAAATAGCAGCTTAACGTTACTGTGTTTCGTATGGTAATGTGCAGAGAACTGGAGACTTTTTTTGAAAACGAAGCAATCTATTCGATCGATCTGAGGGTCCTCGGGGGTGACAACACATCTGCATTTTGATTTATAATTGAGGATAAATGTTGATGTTTATGGACTACAGCATCCATTTATCATAAGGTGGACTGTGTGCTCGTTTGTTATTCTTATTCTATAAAAATATTTTGTAAAATTTAATGCTTATTGTGATACATACATATCATTCACAGACATTCAGTCTCCTTGCACATTATATTCGATTACGTAGTAACTTAATTTAAAAGTTTTCTTTAATTTCGTAGAATTATGTATAGTATAATTAAATTAACTAATAATAGCTGTAGGTATATACTTAAAACGTAATATAATTAAATATATTCATAAGTAATATCATTTCCCATTTAAAAATAATACAAAACTTTGAGGGTTGGAATCTTTATGTTCTGAACTATGTCATCATCATCATCATTATAGCCAATCTCAAGTCTACTCTTTCAAATCTTGATTAAGATCTTTAAAAATTGCAGATAATTAATGCATTTCTAGATATGGATTTAATTTACTAATCCCCACTCTTACGGTACATTGTCGTGTTTTAATTTGAAGTCGATTAGCTTAGAAGAAAAATTAAAATCATTACCTGTTACCAACTAAAATAACGAGTTCAGGCTTCGGAAAGACTCCTTCAACAGAGCAAATAATATTCAAATATCCATCATTTAGTCGATCTTGAATCATATCGAATCTCATTTCAGGCACTGAAAAAAGTAATATTATTAAGTTTATTTAATTGTATAAATAATGATATATACTTATTTTAGATAAAATTGTCATTGAGGGCCTTCCCAATGCATGAACAAATTCATTAGCAATAACACTTAAAAGAGCATTTTTATTAACATGTCTCACGTACGTTATCGTAAAATAATTATCGTGGGCATAAAATCCCAGTGCAACAAATTCAGCTAGATAAAAGTTATAGGGCCCAAGTATGTGCGCAATTACTTACAGGTGCACTCACTTCCCTTCTTTCATAGTTCGATGTGACGGTAATCGACACGCTTGGAGACAAATCAGATGCAGGACCAGCGGCTCAATGTATAAACAAGAAACAAAGTCAACTTTGACTCAGGAATACTACTGAGAATTTCTTGACAACAAAACTTAATAACCGGTTTTGAACGGACACGGGATTCGAAACCAGGACCGCAAATCAGCAGTCACGCTTGCCATCAATAGACCAACGAGGTAGCCAAAATGAAATAAATATATCATCATATGAAGATGTTTAAATGAAATATGAAAAATTGTAATATTAAAAAAATTGGTCGTTTATTAATATGAAAGTTTAAATTTAAGGAAATTAATACCTGCAGTGTTCTGCTAAATTAGTGATGTAATGATGTTGCGTTCCTTATGGTAAGTAACGACAACCGAAGACCTTTTTCATTGGTGTCTTAGTACTCTGGGTTGACATAATATTTCAAATCTCAATCGAGGATAAACGTACGACCCAGCATTCACTTATTGTTGTAATATTTTAAAGATAAAATAAAGCCTTTTAGTCGATTAAACGCTATCATCGAATAAAATATATTTGGGTTAAAAGATATCTAAAATTAATCAAGAATATAGTGTTGCTTAATGCAACTACTCTAATCGGAAATCAATGAAAACATATTATGAAAAAGAGATGGTGGATCACCAGGATCTAGCAGAAGATTAATTTAGCTCGTAAAAAATGTGGGACGAAATTTTAAAATTTGAAGATTCGTATTTTACTCACAAATAATAGTATTTCCATAATAATTTGTATTTGGCCAGCTCCAATAAAAAAAATTCACAAAACTTTTGACGTTTCCTGTCGTAAAAAGAGGGCTTTTTTAGATTGAAAGCGATTTCTTTCAGACAGCTTTACCTAAGAAAAGAGAAAATGTAACATAAAGATAAAAGTAAAGGGCTTTAACTAAATTTAGGGACGAGAGAAAAAGACTAGGGACTTCCATGCATTATTTTAGTCTATTTATTAAAATATTAGCAAAAATTAATAATCTAATTAATTTTACTAAGCTGAGACGCTTGTCCTTTGTATGATTAGTGATTAGCAATAGCAGTCGAATGGCGAATGCCATGAGTTTTAGTTTCATATTAGACTCAACTGCTCCAGCTCTCAGTATATTGTACCGATTGATATTTTTAATTAATAATTGAAGTAATAATAATATCGTTATCAATTATTTAAACCTTTGAATGAATCACATCAATACAATCTTATAAATCTTTCATATAATACACTAAGCGCTTATTCCCCCCTATCCGTTTAAGTTTCACCCAACTATCATGAGTTCATTTCATAGTTTAGTCGAACGTAGCGGATTTCACTAATCATCCCAAGTTGATGTAGGCCTACGTTCAGCTATGAGCTCTAAAAAATTGATTATGGGTGCGTTGAATTATAATGTTATTTTGACTAGCATTTAGTGTTTTTACCATATCAAATAAAACTAGTAACCTAAATAAAATCTTATGTACTTCTCCCAGATAAGCATAGGCTTTTTTCCTAGTTAAGCTATTGCATAGCTTTTATCGCGGACTTTGAGCGCGGCGACCGAATCAAGAAATTCCGTAACGAAAATAAACCTAAGACCCGAAAACCTATCATCGTCTAACATCGTTTCAGTTCGGCAGACTTCGGCACGGTGTTTGTGTGCGTGCTACTAGACGTATGCGTGTATTGACTAGTTGCATGTATTGTAAGATAATAAAAATATTTTAAACAATAATATAGTTTATTGCAAGAAGCATATTCTTTGGATTTATATGAGTCGTCCTCATGCTAGCAAATTTCGTGAATTTAGAGTATTTAATAAACACAGACTTTATAGAAATGCTCGTTAATTACCATAAACCTATAGTTTCAATGATAAAAATTCCTGAATAACCTACTTCTATTGTAAGATAATAAAAATATTTTAAACAATATTAACTTCTCATTTATTAAATAAAAGAAAAAAATATTGTTTTCTTATCGGTCACCAAGCTCAAAAAGTGTAACTTCATTTAATATCAAAGAGTACTTGAATTAATATCAAAGAAAAAGCTTGAACTATTATCAAAGAAAAAAACAAAGAAAAAAATACTGCATAAATAAAATAAATAAATGATTATAATTGCATAAGTTGACAAAAATGCTATGCAATAGCTTTACCGCGGCAGTCCCAAGTGCCACACGTATTTTATTTTGGGTAATAATTGTGTAATAATATTATTTCTTTCTCCATCAGTCATAATATACAGTCCCTTTTTATTTATTTAACAACAATCTTAGAATATTTAAATAAATATTTTACAGTATAAACATAAGCTTTAGCGTATACCGATTAGCCATCAACACTTTACGTAACACTTCTTTAGATATAACTCTGTCCCATAGTACCAGAAGTCTCAAGTACCAATAGGAAACTCGAATGAATGAGGAATAAAAAATTCGAGATGATGTTATGAAGTACGGTAATACGCACGAGGCAGCGCGAATGATTAACAACTACTGATCTGCTACTCCTTCCTAGCTGGAATTTACTTTAGTGACTAAAACGGCCATGTAATAAGTTACAGCCTATATAGGACCCACTGCTGGGTAAAGGTGTGCGAAACTGTTATATTTTTCTAATTCGTTATGCTGTTGTAATATTTTTCTAACTGTTGTTTTAAACTGTTATAATATATTATAACAGTTTCAAATATTACATTGTACATGCGGTTAGTTCAGTTCGGTCACGGTATAAAATTACCGTGGTTCAGTTGTCGGTTGTGTTAGCGTTTTGTTGTATGTTGTTATAACGATTATAAATATTACGATTAAAGACTATTACGATGATAAATATGAAAACGATTATAAGTATTATATGAAGACAAAAAAATATTTTTAAGTTGCATTAGCATCATTTGAGTGTTTCATGTTTTAAAAGAGAATCATTTAGAATATGTACGTTAAGTTCAATGAACTTCCCTTCCTACTTTTTATAGGCTTAGGACTGTCTGAATGTGATTATTGTATCCGTTATAATTATTTACTCATATTTTCAAACATTTAAAGAAAAATAACTCATTCAGGCATAGTTAGAAGCTCATTGTTGTTATGTACATTTTGATTGAATTTTTACATTATTTACACTGTGGTCAAAGTTTTAGTTATCTCCAATTATTTTCATTTTTTTCAGTTACTATTCAAAAACATTATTTGGTTTACTTTTGACGACGTAAGCCTTGTGCGTCTATCCGATATTAAATCCGAACGGCAAAACTCTTCAAACACTCCTACTTGTCTTTGCTTATGGTGAAGCTAGCTTTAAATTTGTAATTGTACTTTTGAAAGATAAAGTTTTTTTTTTTTTGCAATAATTGCACACTGTTTTTTCGTCCACACTTTGGACTATAAAATAGTTCCAAATGGCTGCGCTACGCTGACGTGACATTATTATACACTTTAATATACAACACGCTAAATCCTATCTATATTACACTAAATATTTAAAATTACTATAGGAATAAAACTTAAGAAGAAGTATTTGTATGGCGTAAAAGTAATTGTGTCGGGTCCTGTCTGGATGTTTGTCCTTCTGAAATACATATGTGTAAACTGCCTCCACGATACAGGAGAATCCTAGTGTGGGGATAACTTTAAAAGAAAAGGAAAATGAAAAGGAAAGAAAGATGCGGTCTGCAGATTTCTATCATAGATTGAAATATTTTTATTAACTTCAGTAAATCTATGATGCTGCTGTTACGATGATGGCACACCTATTCGCTCATGCTGACCGCTTTAGTACATAAATACTCTTTTCATTTCTTGATATATAAATTTAAATTGAGTCTGGCCCACTCGTTTACCTTAAACTTTATAAATGGCTCTAAAAAATTGAGTTTGACACCCCTGCTCTACGGCATAGTCTCTATAATCCTTTCTCACATAATCATCTCCTGTTAAAATTCCATTGCTGAAGCAGGCCTGTCTTATAGATTGTCTTGTAATATTAGTTATATTACTATGTAACTATGGAAGATATGGGGATATATTAACCGTAGTGGCCACGTTATAATTTAACAGATAACAGTGTCATTGTCATCTCAGCTAGACACTAATGTGTTGTAAGATTACAAATATATAATGAAATATATTATCTGTTGTATGTTATAAAGCACAACTTTACTGCTGGACACAAGCCCTCTCTCTTTTCTGAGACGGTTTTAGGGAAAAGGAATATCCCAGTGTGTGTTGGCAAACTTCACATGTTTCTCTTCAAAATATTTTTTCTTATTTCTCAGATATGTAATAATTGATGTAGTAAACGTGAAAAAACATTAATGGCATGTAGTAAACATGATTTTTTTTAAATAACAAGAAGGATGATAACAAGTACAGAGTCGACCAGATAGTAAAAAAGATGCTGTGACACACCTACATCTATCTTGGATTTAGAATGAAAATTCCTTCACTTACCGTACGTAATACAGCAGCATTAAATTGCTCTTTTATGCTAGTGTTCTCCGAGCGTGGTTTTTCCTCAGTCGAGCTCAATTATTTGTGGTTCAAACCTAATATCGTTGTAGCATGAGTCATATAAAAACTAGATTATATATAAAAATATATTTACCAAAAATTGTCATGGGGCGTGTTTTTTCATCCTCGGCTAGAAACGTTTACAACACACATATAATTTCCAGTAAGTTCTGTCCCAGGTTGTAATATCCGCAAAGC